TGAGACACTTCCTTTTGCTTATCATTCTAAACCATGTCCTTGTGCACAAAGGTTGAAGCTAACTTTTTATATTGTGTAAAAATGTGACTGTAGAAATGAGTTTTTCCCAAGGTAGCACTTGCTTTTCCTGTGCGGCGTGGCATAGAAGGGTAGCAGGGGTGACTCAGCCCTGGGAGGCCCCTGCCCCTGGGTGGGCCCTCAGCCCTGGGAGGCCCCTGCCCCTGGGTGGGCCCTCAGCCCTGGGGAGGTCCGCCTGTACCTCCGGACCTCAGGTGCTTCATCTGGTAGGGTGGTCTGTGGATGTAGTTTCAAACCTTCCACGCAGAAGCCATGGAAAATCTTACTTAACCATTAGTTGCTTCTGAAAAAAAGGCAGAGACGCCACTCAAGGCTGTGTCTGCACAGAAGCTGGTTTTGAGCTAGCGAGTGTCTACTAAGGGAGGAGGGTGGGCAGGAGGAGGGATTGGGGCCTGGGGCCTTTGACACAGTTTCTGAGCACTGTGCAGTGTGTACAAACACTGTTTTAAAGGCCCCAACACGAACCCGCTCTGTCCCAGGGGCCACCCCCACAGCCCCTAACAGAATCTGGGGCGGATGCAGAGCCGTGCTGGTGCATGGCACATTCTGTGGAAAGCCTTGAGTGACAGGGACGCACAGAGTACTTGGTTCTCGTAGCTGCTTTGGGCTTGTGCCAAGTCAGGCCCCGTGTGGAGCTTCGCGCCTGCCTGTGAGCGCCGTGCCCTGCCTCTGCCCACCGTCTCCCTCTGGCGCTCCACGTACACCTGGTCGAAGGGGTCTGCCCACCCCAGATTCAACCAGGCCTGACCCTTCCGCACCCTCTCCTGTTGATGCACAGGTCCAACGCTCCCTAACACTGGCCCAAAACCCACCATTTACGCTCTACTTGCTGAGCAGAGCCCTGATTTTTGGGGGGATTCGAAGCCCCTCTTCCCAAAGACAATCCTTTGGGGCCATGGGTGATATTCTTTCCAGCCAAAGCTTCTCTCGGCAGGAACACAACGCCAGCCCCGATGTAGGCGCTAGCCCGCTGGCAGGACTCACCTGTTGGCAGGCTGTTCGCTCTGACTGCATTTGGTGGTCTTTCCCATGCAGCAACCAAGCTGGAGCCGCAGTGCGGGGCTAGTGCTCACCTCATTCTGAGCTTGGTAGTGCTGATGCTGTAGCCTCAAAGTTAAACATCTGTTCTTACTTACTTATTCATTTATTCTTGTGCCAGGCCTGGGGCTTGAACACAGGCTCTGGCCACTGTCCCTGAGCTTTTGTGCATAACGTTAGAATCCTACCACTTGGGCCACAGTGCCACTTCTGGTCTTTTTGGTGATTAATTGGAGGCAAGAGTCTCATGGACTTTACTGCCCGGGCTGGCTTTGAACCACGACTCTCAGATCTCAGCCTGCTGAATAGGATTATAGGCGTGAGCCACCGGTGCCCAGCTCAACACCTGTTAACATTAACATCTGCATTTACTCTGCCCCCATTGCTCCCATAAAGTTGGCAGCTCACAGCACAGATTCCTTTCAGTCTGGTAGATCAGTGTTCGCACCCAGGCTCAGGGCTGGCAGGTGCGGGGATGGCAACCATAGTCCTTTCTCTGCCTTCCAGAACACGGTCTGACTCCCTGCTCAGCACAGCGGATCTGCTTTTAAATCTGAAATCATAACAGATCAAGGTGGAGGAGAGCGAGATGAGGCCATGTTCGGTCCCTCTCTTGCCGATGGTCGAGGTGTGCCGTAGGACAGGCGTGCCAGTCTTGCGAACTTTCTTCCAAATAAGAGGCTTAAAACGTCTGTTCTTGCCAGGCTTTGTACCTGTGGAGTTAACGATTTAAATTCGAGTGTGGGATCCTTGATTTCCTCAATTGAATTTTACCATTTTAGCCCTCACCCGCTGTGTGGTTCTGTCCAGAGGCTGATGCCTTTCATTCTGTCCCCCAGCTGATTAATGATCCTTTTGGTTCTGGACACCTTTAGCCTTGGAGAACTTGCCGCTCCTTTTTGGCCTGATTACTGACAGAGACAGGGAGCAGGGCTTTGCTGAGATGGAGACGGGGTGCTGCCAGGAAGGTCTGCCACAGCTGCGTGTGAGCGGGGCACCGCGTGTGAGCAGGTGTGCAAGCAGGGTGGCGTGTGTGAACAGGTGTGTGAGTGGGGCTCTGCATGTGAGCTGGTGTGCGAGCAGGGTGGTGTGTGTGAACAGGTGTGTGAGCGGGTATGCGAGCGGGCGTGTGAGTGGGGCGCTGTGTGTGAGTGGGTGTGCGAGCAGGGTGGCGCGTGTGAGCAGGTGTGTGAGCGGGGTGCTGTGTGTGAGCGGGTGTGCGAGCAGGGTGGTGTGTGTGAACAGGTGTGTGAGCGGTTGTGTGAGTGGGCGTGTGAGTGGGGTGCTGTGTGTGAGCGGGTGTGTGAGCAGGGTGGCGCGTGTGAGCAGGTGTGTGAGTGGGCGTGTGAGTGGGGTGCTGCGTGTGAGCGGGTGTGCAAGCAGGGTGGTGTGTGTGAACAGGTGTGTGAGCGGGCATGTGAGTGGGGTGCTGCGTGTGAGCGGGGCTCTGGTGTGAGCGGGTGTGCGAGCAGGGTGGCGTGTGTGAGCAGGTGTGTGAGTGGGCGTGTGAGTGGGGTGCTGCGTGTGAGCGGGTGTGCGAGCAGGGTGGTGTGTGAGCGGGCGTGTGAGCGGGGCTCTGCGTGTGAGCGGGTGTGCGAGCAGGGTGGCGCGTGTGAGCAGAGCCCCGCGGGCCGTGTCGCACCATCCAGGCCGTGCACACACCATTCGCTGCACATCTGGTAAGCCAGTGACCTCGCACCTCGGTGGTAGTTCCACATCCTGAGCACTTTCAGATTTCAGATTCAGTCACAGATTTGCAACGTCTGCCACACTTCCCCAATCTGCCGATGGGCTCCAGGCAGTCGAGGGTTGGGGACCGACCTGCAGCGTGCGGTGCCCTGGGCACACGGCGTCTGTGCCAGGTCCCCACACTCACGGCACACTTCAGTCCCTGCGGGGGTCGATGCCGGCCCGGACTCCTCTTCCCTGAAGATCAGCTTCCATGTCTTCTCTGCACCTCTGCCCTCTGGACTTCACTGGTCTCATTTGCCAGACTTGAGCAACCTAATCTCAACCCTCTCTCTCTCTCTCTCTCTCTCTCTAATATATATATACATATACACATATATGTGTGTGTGTGTTACACACACACACACATATATTGACAGTCCTGGGTCTTGAACTCAGGGCCTGGGTGCTGTCCCTAAGCTTCTTTTGCTCAAGGCTAGCACTCTACCACTTGAACCACAGCGCCACTTCCAGCTTTTTCTGTGTATGTGGTACTGAGGAATTGAACCCAGAGCTTCATGCATGCTGATCAAACACTCTACCACTAAACCACATTCCCAGCCCTCTGAGTATTTTTGCCATTGTTTTTTGTTTGTTTGTTTGTTTTTGGTCGGTTGTGGGGCTTGAACTCTGGGCCTGGGCACTGTCCCTGCGCTCTTCAGCTCAAGGCGAGTGCTCTACCTCTTGAGCCACAGCACCACTTCCCCCTCTGAGTATTTTTGAGATGATGTTTGCGAGGGATAGAAGGACGCAGGAGCGAGCTAAGGATCACTGCTCTCCCGCTTAGCCTGTGTGGCCAGTCGTTGAGACGTAGCTTGTGTTGGGCAGCGCTTAGGGACGTGTCAGGTCACAGCGTGTGCGGGGTGCAGCACTGTGTCGTGCCCCACACGCGATGCTGGTAGCCTGGGCGCGGAGTAAGTCAGGTGGGAGGTTGGGGGCAGTGAGTCAGGGTCAGCAGCAGTGGCCCCCGGCAGCTGATGGAAGGCAAGAAGACTCATATTGCAAAACCAAATGGAACAAAGAGGTGTTTCTGAAAATATCATATGATCCCCGAGAGTTCCCGAAACCTTCCACTAAAGAACAGCTCAGGGCTGTGTGTCCTACAGATTCTGTGAGTCCCAATCCGCTCGGTGAACTATGTCTGCACCTGCCTGCTGGAGGAACACTGGTTTAGGAATGCTTAAATCTCCCAAGGAAGCAGATTCTGTTTTGACTTGGTGGGGCCCCTTGAATGTGCCAGGGGCATTGACGGTGTGGAGGTGAGCCCACTGGGGCCGTGCGCGTGACAGGGAAGGCTGCTGTCTCAGGAGTGCACGGCGCGCGAGGCCGTGGGTGCTGTGCGTGGTTTGTTGGCTCCTCAAGAATCGCGCCAAAGACAGCGCTTCCGGCCTCCCCTCGCAGTGGGGAGGCATCGCTACCTTTGGTCCTCAGCCCACTGGAGGGCACGGAAGCATCTCCTTAGAAGCTTCACCACCGCACCCCTCTGCCTTCACAAGGCCGACCCTCACAGCTTGTCTCTCCAGGCTGATAGTTGCAATTCAAGGCCGGGAATTTGTGTCCAGGACTCTCTCTGTGTGGTGACTCAGGTGCCAGCAGGCCACTCATGCAACTTCCTTACAAGGGTACACACGGTCTTTGTGGTACAAATGGTGGTTTGGGCAGGCTGAAGCCTTGGAGCTTAGGAGTAAACCATCTTTCTTATTGAGAGCCCTGGTGCTTAGCCACAACCTTAAGTTTCTCAGTATCTGGCATGATGCAGGGTTACACCAACCAATGAGTTCATGTCGTTTCTCCTAAGAGAAATCACTGGTGCCTGGGGTGGGGCTGCACAGAGCGTGCGTTTCTGTCTGCAGTTCTACTTTGAGAGATTTTGGCCCAGTAGAATCTCGCTGTACGTACTCACCCTGAGTTTTTGTGTTGATCAAAACCTACTGTTTTTCTAATATGTGTGTGTGAGCCGTGCACCGTGGTTTATGGAGCTTTGCACGCGACCACGGTGGACTCATCATGTGACAGAAAAACCTACGATGTGTTCTCCCTGGGCTGTGCAGAGAGCCCGGGAAGCCTGTCCTCAGTGTGTGTCCAGCGGGACGCTGTTCTGGGGCCGCCCCGGGACACGGCTGTGACTGCAGCCATTTGCTTTCTCCCCTCCTCAGCTTCCTCTCTGAGCGGCCATCATCTCTGCTGCTGAGCCGTGAGGTGGACCCATTTGCTTCCCTTCGGGCCCCAGGCTGCCTCTCCTGCCCACAGCCTGCACCGCCATGAGCGAGGTGAGAGCCTGCTTTGTTCTGGGTACAGGGTCTGAGTTCAGTTCATTGTGGCCACGGACGGTGGGCTGTAGCGCACTCTTCCTTTGCTTTTCAGGAACTGCTGAGCTCTCTGGATCCTTACGAGTCACTGGATGATTACTCTGAGTCCAACAGCACGAGTGCCAGCGGTTATCCAAGTGACTACCTGCCGCCCTCCCCGTGCTCGCTGAGGGGCGTCAGGCAGTTCTCCCGCGTGTTCGTGCCCGTGGCCTACTCGCTGGTGTGCGCCTTCGGCCTCCTGGGCAATGTGCTGGTGGTGCTCACCTTCGCCTTTTACAAGAAGGCCAAGTCCATGACGGACATCTACCTCCTGAACATGGCCATCGCGGATGCCCTCTTCGTCCTCACGCTTCCCTTCTGGGCAGTCAGCCACGCCGCCGGCGCGTGGGTTTTCAGCAACGCGCTGTGCAAACTGCTGAAGGGGATCTACGCTGTCAACTTCCACTGCGGCATGCTGCTGCTGGCCTGCGTCAGCCTGGACCGCTACGTGGCCATCGTGCAGGCCACCAGCTCCTTCCGCCTCCGGGCCTGGACCCTGACGCACAGCCGGAGAATCTGCTCCATGGTGTGGGCGCTGTCCCTCCTCATCTCCACCTCGACCTTCGCCCTCAACCGGAAGTACAAGATCCAGGGCCAGCAGGTGTGCGAGGCCAAGTACCCGTCCTTCTCGGAGCCCGTCACGTGGAAGCTGCTGGGGCTGGGGCTCGAGCTGCTCTTCGGCTTCTTCGTCCCCTTCGTGTCCATGCTGTTCTGCTACGCGCTCATCGTCAGGACCTTGCTGCAGGCTCAGAACGCAAAGCGGCACCGCGCCATCCGCGTGGTCATAGCCGTGGTGCTGGTGTTCCTCGTGTGCCAGATTCCTCACAACGCCGTCCTGCTGGTGACCGCCGCCCACCTGGGCAGCATGGACAAAGTGTGCCACAGCGAGAAGCTCCTGGGCTACGTCAGGACCGTCACCGAGGTCCTGGCCTTCCTCCACTGCTGCCTCAACCCCGTGCTCTACGCCTTCGTCGGCCAGAGGTTTCGGAGCTACTTCCTGAAGATCATGAAGGACGCGTGGTGTGTGCGGAGGAGGGCCGCATCGCGCCTCTCCTGCGCCCGCATCCACTCGGAGAGCTGCGCCTCCAGGCAGACCAGCGAGGCCGTGGACGACAACGCCTCATCCTTTACTATGTGAGCCCGGAGAGTCACGCGGTGCCCTGCAGCACCTTTACTGTGTGAGCCCGGAGAGTCACGCGGTGCCCTGCAGCACCTTTACTGTGTGAGCCCGGAGAGTCACGCGGTGCCCTGCAGCACCTATGGGACTTATCAATAGGTGTCTGGCGGTGGGGGGGGGGAGAAGAAAAGAAAAGACATGGCTCAACATGCACAGGAGTTCTGGAAATTAAGCATAACCCGCCTCGGCCTCCCTGTGCTAGCGTGCTTAGTGAGAAGTGTTGTGGTCCCGGAGACTCATGGGCCTTTGTCCCACCAAACAGGACCTGGGAAAGGTGCAGTTCATGTGAATTTAAACATTTTCTGAAAATATTTACAAAGAGCTTGCACAGAGACCCACGCGCGATGGCTCCCACCTGCAATCTTAGTGACTTAAGAGGCTGAGGTTGAGAGCATCCAAGTGTGAGGACGGCCTCGCAAGAAAACTTCCCCAGGATCCCAGCCTGACCGTGAAGTCAGGAGTGGAGCTGTGGCTCGAGTGGAAGAGCACCAGCCTTGAGCAGAAGAACTCAGGGACACCAGCACCACAAAAAGCGGCGGTGGGGGGGGGGGAGATGACATAAAGCTAATAAAAATACTTTAAAAAGGGGCTGGAGGCATTGCTTGGAGTCCCTAATATTTGAAAAGCCCCGAATTCAAATCCCAGCACAAGAAAAAAGAAAAGACAAAGAGAAGTACTCCTATAACTCCTTTTAGAGAAACATTTAAGCTGGGAAGAAGGCTCAGTGGTAGGGCGCTTGCCTTGCATGCATGAAGCCCTGGGTTCGGTTCCTCAGTACCACATAAAGAGAGAGAGAGAGAAAAAAAGAAAAACATTTAAGCAGTGTTTACTGTTGCTAATTGTAAATAGCTACATCATTACCTACTTTCCCTTGGACTGGCACAGTGAGGGCCAGGTTGTCAAAAGGCTGGAGAGAGACAATCCGACGCGCCCACCCACTGGAAAGCACATGGTAACAGGCAGTGGGTGGAAACCATGGTCACCCTCCTGTCTCCCTGGAAAAGGCATCTGGGCTTGCACTGGCTGCGGCCGCTGGCTGCCCCTCACTGTGGCCAGGCAGCCCTGTCTCCTGCTGAGCCTGGCTTCTGCAGGGGCTGGCTGGTAGCCCCAGGCTCTCCTGAGTTTTTAGCGAGTTTAATAAATGTTTGTCCAATGAATCATAATAAAATTGGAGTTTATTTTGCAGTCTAAACTGCTAGATGTTTTTAATTGTTCTCACAGTGCTTCTTTAAATAAAAGAAAACTTTGCAGAGCCAATGAGAGGAATGTTGGTTCTCATTTCTTAATGGAGTTGGAGGAGAGGATGGTGGCTAAGGATAGGCCCACAAAGGCCTGGAGTTAGCCAGGGTATAGTAAGAGGCACATTGGCTTCCCAAAGTCTGAGACTCATGATGGGATCAGACTGTAAAAACTCTCTGGCTTTGTAGAAGCCTTCCAGAACTCTAGATTTGCAAGTGCTACATACCTGTAGGAAGACAAGTGAGGAAAATCTGGACTTGACCTATGAAAATACAGAGGATTTGAGCAGGGTGACCATCACCCATCCAGAGCCCTGACAAGCTCACCTTGACGAGACACTAGTGGGAACTTGTCTGGGTCTCATGGGCTGCAAAGAGAGGTACTAAGATCTAAAGTCTGTATGTATTAAGCATTGCTTTAGCGTTGCAAAGTAAGAGTACATGAGGCATGGGAAATTGGAATCATGTTCTAGCTTTTGTGTCTTCCCCCTGCCCCCCACCATGTGGTATTCAGGGCCTCTGCTGCCCTGAGATCTGCTAGTGATGGATTCCAGAAATCAAATCATAAGCCAGGAGCTCTTGTCACCATAGTAACTGTGAGGCGCCTGGAGGAGTCTCAAGTGTGGCCAGTAGGGGGCGCAGAACCCATTTCTTAAGTGAAGAAACATGAGCATGCTGGATGGGCTGATGGGACTGTGAAGGTAAGTAACGCTTGAAGCTAGCCCAGGAGGAGCCTGCTTCTGATCGATGGAATCATTTTTAAGTGGAAAAGCACAAAATCCTCATGGCATCTACGTGTGCAGCAGTAGCCTTTCCGGCGATGTGTGCAGTGAGCTCAGGCTAAACGAGCAAGCAGGCTCTTTTCCCTTCTGAGTACAAGGTTTTCCAAATACTGATTCCCACGTGTGTTCCTCGCGTGCACACCCCCGCAGGGAAGGGGGCGGCGCTCAGTGGAGATCCTGGGGCAGCCACACAGGCCTCGGTAGGCTGAGCCCTCCGAGGTCTGCTCCCAGGGCCTCCAGCCTGCCCCTGGCCTGGCCCGGCCCCGAGGGTGGGTCTCTCTGCCCCTCCCGGCCAGTCCCAGCCTCCTCTCTGTGAAGTTTCCCTGCAGAGGGAAGAGTTTCCCAGCCCACCGCCTGGGGACCGGCACACTCCGGCGCGGCCCTGCCCGCACCGCTCACCTCTGCCTGGCCTGTGGGCTCTGCTCAACTCCCAATCTCCGTTCCCATGGTCCTTGAGCCCTGCAGCAGGAGGAGGTCTGGGCATGCCCGGAGAAAGGAGACCTGGCCAGGAACCAAAAGCGGACGGTGGATCTGGGTAAGGGCAGTGAACTCCTGGTGTCCACTGTGAGTCCAGTGTCCCTCGCGCCTGCAGCATGATGCAGGACCCGCCTTGGTCAAATGCCAGTTTCCTGAGCTCCCAGGGAGATTCTATGCACGGACCTATTTCTCCATTGAAGAAGAGGGTGCTTCGCCCCTACAGGCCATGCTTGGGGCTTCTCTGGCTGTTCACAGTTACCATGGTGACAAGAGCATCCTTGCCCACCAAGGGCCTTAGGGATGACAGTGAGGCGGGCAGGGTGGAGCGCCGTTCCCCGACGGTCCTGAGCCTGTGCTGGCCCTCCCTGACCCCTCCCCAGCTCTCTGCTTAGGAACCCATCCACCCACCAGCCCGCCACTGGCCAAAGGGAGGGGACCGTTGGCTTATTTGGACAGAGAAACAACACTGGCTGCAGGATGGAGTTGTCTCAGTAAGGAAGAAGACCTCACCCCGAAGCTCCTGGCAGCCCTTATCAGGTGTTCTGGAGCCCAGCGGGGTTGAGAGCTGCGAGCCACAGACAGACTGTCAGCTGCCCCGCGGGACGAGAAGAGGAAGCACACAGGGCAGCCCGGCCCTCCCTTGCCCAGCCCCAGCTCTCCTCCACCGCGTCCAGAGGCCACCGTTGAGACCAGAGCTTGTTCATGCCCTGCCTGCAGGCCTGCGGTCCTCTCTAGGGAGGGTGGGGGGAGGACTCGGTGCTGAGGCAGTGTCCCCGGGGACACTGACCGTGTGTGACCCTAATGAAGAAGTCAGATGGGATTGCAGTAACGCCCTGGGGTTTGCTGGGCACAGGGATGGGGTAGGCCTGGGGTCTGACAGGCCTGTCAGCCTTGAGCCTTGAGCCACCTCGCACGGGCTTCACGTGGAGGGCAGGGGGTTACAGGGCCCACAGCCACAGTGGGAGAACAGCAAATCATTAGCCACCAATGTGTGGCCTGCTAGGCTCTGGTCTCCGTGGCTCGGGTGCCGTTTTACTTGTGTCTAGGATGGCCCTACAGCAGCTCTTACTGTCCTGTTTGCAGAGGGGTCAGTGAGCAGCACTGAGGTGAGGGAGCACGGTGCTGGCCCTTCCTGAAGCAGGGGCTCTGCTGCCCAGGCCTGGAAGACAGGCGCCAGGGCAGGGCGGGGCCTCGGGCACCTCCCACCGCTGGGTGGCCGAGCCGCCTGATGAGCCTGCGGCTCCTTCCACCCGGCTGGCAAGCCTGTGAGCCCCCAGCGGTCCGTGCCACAGGCCTGCCAGCTGGTGTGTGCTGGCTGTGCGTCAGCCTGCTGCCCGCAGCTCTGACAGACGATGCTGCAGCCAAGGCCCAAGGCTCGGGGGAAAGTGACCCCGTGAGTGTGAGCATTTTCAACATGGCGGCGTTCTAGGCTGGGCATACCCGAGGGGCAGGAGGGGAGGGGCGGACATTTCTTCCTGGTAGAAAGGGAAGGAGGACAGGCTCACACAGCCTGTGACAGACACCTTCCCCCAATCCCCCGTCCCCTGATCCCCCATCCCCTGATCCTCCATCCCCCGATCCCCCGTCCCCCCGATCCCCATCCCCCGATCCCCCATCCTCTGATCCTCCATCCCTCGACCCCCCATCCCCTGATCCCCCATCCCCCGATCCCCCGTCCCCCAACCCCCCCCCCCCCCGTCCCCCGATCCCCCATCCCCGCTCCCTTCCCTGCCCAGGGCCATCAGCCCACTTGGAAATAGAGCCCACGGAATAGCAGCATCTGTGAACGGAGTGGAGCTGCCCCTCCCCACCCGGGACCATGACCACGGTGCCTCCTGCGTTCAGCAGGGCTTCTGGAGACACACGTCTCAATGAGTGCCCTGAAGAATGGAGCTGCAGACCCAGGTGCTGGGGGTCTGGGGGGTTGTGGCATGCCATTGCCAGTGCTACCGGCTCTGACCAGGGGTGGCTGGACGGCCGCTGGGAGGGAGTGGCCGTGGAGCTGCAGGTGCAGCCTCGTGGGCGGGGGCGTGTTGGTGATTCCTGTCCTCACCACCGGCGGAGAGTGAACGAGGAGGCCGAGGCAGTAAGGAAGGCGACTGGGAATCTTCACCATCATGAAGATCACGTTATGGGGACGTCATTTATCTGGGGGGGGGGGGGAGATGGCCGTCTCAGCCCTGCCCAGCCCCTGCCAGTCCTGCTCCCTGTCGGTGGCAGGTGTTGCTTTAAGAGCAGGTGTGTCACGGGGTCTCCCGCACAGAAGAGCTGTCCTGTGAGCTCACCTCTGAGATGGGAAATGGAAGGGAGGCGCCGGGAGTTGCGCGTAGGCCTGGGGCCTGAACCCAATGCGCTGGGCGGTGTTGGCAGACTGGGCAGTGAGCACTTTTGTAACTATGTTTTTTTGTGCCAGTCCTGGGGCTTGAGCTCAGGGCCTGGGCGCTGCCCCCGAGCCCCTCTGTGCTCAAGGCGAGTGCGCTTCCTCTCGAGCCACAGCGACACTTCTGGCCTTTGCTGTGTATGTGGCTCTGAGGACTCGCACCCAGAGTCTCATGCGTGCTAGGCGAGCGCTCCACCGGGAGCCGCCTTCCC